CCTCGTAGTCTTTCCCTCCCTCGGAGGAACGACGGGCGACACCACCACCACTAGGGCGCCCTCTGCAGCGAGGGGGTCCGAGGTGCCTCCCCGAATTGGGGATACGGTCGGGCACTTTGGGATAGCCTGTCGCTCCGCCGCTTCTGCCCCACCACGCTTCGGCGCGACGCGCTGTCCACTTCCGAGTCCCCAGGCGTCCACGTCCCGAGCCTTTCCCATGCCTCCCGCCCCGCGGAGCGGAACGACACGCTGCCCGCTCGCAAGGCACAGCGTGTCAGGTGGGCCGCAGTGGTGACACGCTGTCCAAAAGCTTCCGACCGTGGGGGATGTCTCGAGCGAGGAGTTCGGACGAGCAGTTTTACGACCTGCTCAGGTCGAAGCAGTTGAACGACGTGCTCAGGTCCGAAGTGAAGTTTTACGACCTGCTCAGGTCGAAAGCGAGCAGTTTGACGACCTTCTCGGGTCGAAGACAGCGCAGGGTCCGCAGGGTCTCACTCCCTGGGTCGGCCCGGCCCCAGTTCCGGGCCCCACCACCAGGAGGACCCCCCCCTCCATGGCTCCTCTCGCTCGTGGTGGCGCCCCTGCCGGGGCGCCCGAGGTCCCGGGAGGGCTTTCGCGGAGAGGTGCAGAGGGGGGCCACACCACCAGGAGGACCCCCTCCACTTTCCAGCTCTTCGCAACTTCCGGGTAACTTTTGCATATTCGGGAAAGTCTTCAGGAGTCCCCAATTGCCCCCATGGCACCTCTCGCTTGTGGTGGTGGTGCCACTCTTCCGTCTTCCCCCGCCCCTGTCGCAGCGCCCGCGGTCCCCAGGAGGGCCTCCGCGGAGCGATGCAGATGCCTGGCGCCGCGGCTCCAACCAGCCTGACAGGGCCTCGGGGGCCAGGGAGGGGGGCGCACGACGCGAACGCGGGCGAGACGGCGGAGGGCGCCGACCTCTCTCCCTTCGCCCTGTCGTCCTCCTCTCCTTCTCCTTCCCTCCCCTCCTCCTCCTCCTCCTCCTCCTCCTCCGCCTCCTCCTCCGCCTGCTCCTCCTCCGCTTCCGCCTACTCCTCCTCCACCTCCTCCTCCTCCTCCTCCATTCCTTTTCCTTACAAGTAACTTTCCCCTGTCGCACACCGAGGCCAGTTTTTAGGGCGGGCCGGGCGTTTCGCCTAAGACTTCCTCACCAGTTATTATTATGACGCTTAGAAACTGACAATCGCTTTACAGATGGAGGGCGGCCCGCTTTCAAAATGTGGCTCTTGCTTTAGCGCGGCGCACCGTCGTTTTAGACATTTGCATGAGTTTCATGGATTGGGGGCGGGTGGTTTTCAATATGTGGCTCTCGCAATAGCGCAGCGCACGCTCGTTTTAACAATTTGCATGAGTTTCACGGATTGAGGGCGGGTGGTTTTCAAAATGTGGCTCTCGCCCTAGCGCCGCGCACATTCGTTTACAATCATTTGCAAAAGTTTCACGGATTGAGGGCGAGTTGTTTTCAAAATGTGATTATCGCCTTAGCGCCGCGCGCATTCGTTGACAACATTTGCAAGAGTTTCGCGAATTGAGGGCGGGTCCTTTTCAAAATGTGGCTCTCGCCTTAGCGCCGCGCACATTCGTCTACACAATTTTCAAGAGTTTCACGGGTTCCCATCATCAACGTACCAGAAATGGTGTTGGGAAAGATTCAGGATTATGCGGGTGCAGCAGTTAATTTGATTATTTGTGTTAAAGTTCTAGGAATGGCGCTCTGGCACGATTCAGGATCGTCAAGACGCAACAGTCAGGTTGATCCGTTGCGCTGGAATCCCGAGAACAATGTTTTGGCATGTTTCAGGGTCTTCAAAGAGGCGTCTTCCAACGAGGCAGTTCCATCCATGGAAACGAACCGCTGCAGGGGCCTATGATGAGGGAGCTTGGAGGGAGGGTTTACTCCAACATCGTTGATGACTCTTGGGTTTACACTGGTCCTCCTCCTCTTCCTCCTCCTCCTCCTCCTCCTCCTCCCCGCGCGGCTCGGGGGGGGAGGGGCACGAGACGAATGGGGGCGCCGACGCCCCCCCCCCCCCTCTGGCTCTTTGTCCTCCCCTCTCCTCCCCTCTCCTCGGGAACGAGCGGCCGCGAAGGCACACACACACAAAGAGCAGGTCCTCCTCATGCCTCGAGGGTTGGCTCGGATTCACACCTTGGTTTCGGGAGCGGGCCCCACTGGAAGAAGCCCCCCCTTGGGGGGTAGGGCGGAACGAACGGGGGACGCCCGGGTCGAGGATCCAAACTGGAGAGGGTAGGCAGCTCACGCATCGCCCCAGGGAAGAGCCAGCTCAGAGGAGGAGAAGTTGGAGGAGGAGGGTGACGTCGTCGTCGCCTCTCAAAGCTAGGCGCTTGTCCCTTCGAGAGCCTCTTCCATGAGAGACAAAGTTTGGGACGAAGGCAGAGAAATGCAACGAGCGGTGACGAGCGAGGATTGACGGGCGCCGAAGTGGTGGGTGAAGCGCATTGGCAGGATGATTGAGAGCACCTCCTGCTCGTCTGAGAGCGCGGTGCGCTTCGCAGCGCACGCTGCCGGCTCCCGTCGGCACTGCCCCCCCAATCTGGGTGTGCCAAGTAGAAGAGGCTGAGGAGGAAGAGGAGAAGGAGGGAGGGGTTAGGCCGTGCCTCCTGTTTGGCTTGCAGTGCTGGGAGGTCCCGCGGGAAGGCTGGGAATCACGGAGGTCTCACGGCAATATCGGGCTCACCCCGACACACTTATACTACCATGCTATATGTGCGTCGCCCCAAAGGGGCCCATCATCATCATCATCATCATCATCATCATCATCATCATCATCATCATCAGCAGCAGCAGCAGCAGCATCATCGAGACACCATCATCATCATCATCACCTCATCACCGTCATCATCATCACCATCATCATCATTGGGACACCATCATCGGCACCATTATCATCATCAACATCATCATCATCATCGGGGCACCATCATCATCATCGGAACACCACCACCATCATCATCATATCATCATCAGGATCATGAACAACATCATCAACATCATCCGGATCAGCGGGACACCATCATCATCATCCGCAACATCAGCATCATCAACATCATCGTTTTCTCATCATCATCATCATCATCGGAACACCATCATCATCGTCACAATCATCATCGTCACCAGCATCACCAACATCATCGAGACATCATCATCATCATCATCATCGTCATCATCATCATCATCATCAGCATCAGCATCATCATCATCATTATCAGCACCATCATCACCATCATTGGGCCACCATAATCAGAACCATCATCACCATCACCTCATCATCATCCTCATCATCAACATCACCATCATCATCGGGACACCATCATCATCATCATCGGGACACCATCACCATCATCACCATCATCATCAACAGCATCATCATCATCAACCTCATCATCATAATCATCGGGACACCATCATCATCATCATCATCATCTGCATCATCATCAACAAATCATATGATCATCATCAACATCATCCGGATCATCATCATCATCATCATCATCATCGGGGCACCATCATCATCAGCAATATCATCATCGACATCATCAGCATCATCATCATCGGGGCACCATCATCATCACCAGCACCATCACCATCATCATCAACATCGTCAACATCATCATCATCATCATCATCATCATCATCATCATCTTCATCATCATCATCATCATCATCATCATCATCATCGGGACACCATCATCATCACCACCATCACCATGATCACCATCATCATCAGCTTCATCATCATCATCATCATCATCATCATCAGCATCATCATCATCATCATCATCATCATCATCATCATCATCATCATCATCATCATCATCCAGACACCGATGGGACACCGGCGGGACACCGCGCGCCACCGGCCCCCGAGCGGGACACCGGCGGGACACCGCGGGGCACCGGTTGCCGGAAGGGAGACTTCTGGTCCGGCCGCGCCTCAGCTACAGGAGACTTATTTCTCGCCCGCCCACGCAGCTTCGCCTCGCCCGCACGCACGGCACGCACGAACACGAAACCGAAACCAATTTCCTGGTAGGGGTGCTCTCCGTTCCACTTCGATCTCACCCTCTCACCTCCGATTTCGTCCAAAATCCGCCTGTAGGGGGACACGCCCGACTTAACCCTAACGTTGCCACTCACAGGGGTGTCCATCTGGCACCGGGGGGGCCCACGAGCAGGCGCCAGTCAGCACTAGCGCTGGTTTGCGGCGTTGCCCTTTACCTCGTTGAGGGCAGGGTCCGGGAGTGAAACAGACGAACCCGTCCTGGGATGCGATCTGACCAGATTCGGGAGGGAATCCATCGGACGGGGCTCGGACGAGGAAAGATCCATTCCAGAGTGTTCCGGAATGCTCTCAGAGCGTTCCGAAACGTTCTGAGACGGCCGCGGTTCCCGAGACATTTTCTAGAGGCTCTGGATGTCAGAGATTATCGATTGATCCTGACCCGGTTTTATCCTTGGCCTGGCTCCGTGGTAAGGGGAATCCAAGAGGCCAAGATGCTAAAAACTCCATGAAGGCGTAGCCTCCTGCGTCACCCGCGGGGGCGCGAGGGTGAGAACCGCGCTATGCGCGCCGCGGCCAGGACCAGAGCGGCTGCCCTTCGCCGACGGAGCGGCGCGGGGGCGCGAGGGCCAGGAGATCGTCGTGCACCACGGGGCGCGAGGGCGCGAAGCTGGGCGACCTCTTCTCCTCTTCCTCTCCTCTCCGTTCCGTTCTTCGCCTCCTCTTCTTTCCCCTGCTCCCTCTTCCCCCCTGCTCCTTCCCTCCTTCCCCCTTTCCCCTCCTTCCCCTTCCTCTCTCTCCCCCTCCCCTTACCCCCTCCTTTCCCTCCCGCTTGCCTCTCCCTGGCCCTCCCCTCCTTCCCCCCGTTCCCCTTTGCCTCTCCAGCGGGGGCCTCTGGGGAGGCCCGCGCGGCCCGGGTGGCTGTGCCAGAAGGCCCTGCAGGAGGCCGAGTGCATGGAGGCGGGCCGCGGTGAAGGGAAGAGGCTGGCTCGGAGGAGGGAGGGGGGAGGAGGGAGGAGGAAGGAGGGAGGAGGGAGGAGGGAGGAGGATAAGGAGGAGGGAGGAGGAGGAGGAGGAGGAAGAGGAGGAGGAGCAGGAGGAGGATGAGGATGAGAAGGAGGAGGAGGAGGAGGAGGAGGAGGGAGGAGGGAGAAGGGAGGAGGAGGAAGAAGGAGGGAGGAGGGAGGAGGAAGGAGGGAGGAGGAGGAGGAGGAGGAGGAGGAGGGAGGAGGAGGAGGAGGAGGAGGAGGAGGAGGAGGAGGAGGAGGAGGAGGAGGAGGAGAAGGAGGAGGAGGAGGAGGAGGAGAAGGAGGAGAAGGAGGAGGAGGAGGAGGAGGAGGAGGAGCAGGGAGGAGGAGGAGGAGGAGGAGGGGGAGGAGGAGGAGGATAAGGAGGAGGGAGGAGGGAGGAGGGAGGAGGCGTTTCAGGGCCAGGCCGCGGAGGTCTCTCGTGCCGTCGCGCGGCCCTCTGGGCCGTCTTGGATCCCCTGGGGGCCTCGTGGGCCGTCTTGGGCCTCCTCGCTCCCTCCCATCAGGGCGCGAGCTAGACTGTGTTTTGGCGCTTTCGTGGGCCGTTTTCATTGTGATTTGGCTCTGCAGCAGAGGCGGAACGAAGACAGGCCGAGGGAACGCGACAGCAGAACGAAGACGGAAGACACTGCTTAGCCCGCGCCCTGCCTCCCATCCCTTCCACTTGCGCTGGTTATTTCTCCATCTGCGCGGACGCGTGTCATGACCGACCGGGAAAACAAACAACAGTGTTATGCGCAATCGGAAGAGTGGAGCTCCGTACATGGGTGGAGGATGAGGAGGTGGATGAGGAGGAGGAGGAGGAGGAGGACGAGGAGGAGGAGGAGGCGGCAGGCGAGTAGGAGGATGAGCAGGAGGATGAGGAGTAGGAGGAATGAGGAGGACGAGGACAAATAGCAGCAGCAGGAGCTGGGGTGGAATGAACGGGAGGAGCAGGAGAACACCAGGGGGGGCGACAACAAAGAAGAATGACTCGGATCCAGAAGAGTGGCCCACGCTTGGGCGAGAGCGCCACTGTGAACGACGGGGGCAGATCGCCGATCCGAAAAGGAGGCCCACGCTTCAGCGGGAGCACACCTGTGAAACACCGAAGACAATCGGATTGTAAAGCGCCGCAGGAGAAAGCATTTTCGCACAATCATGCTTCTGCGGAAAAACACTACGCGGAGAAGGCGGCGTACCTTCCAGACAGAGTCAGGGGAGAGATGAGAGTAGCATTCAGATTGTGCTACTGTGGAGGGAGCAGGGAGGAGGGACACGGGAGGTGGAGGAGGGAGATGAGGCGGGGGAACGAGCGAAACATGTGTAGAATTGTTCGGGCCTCCAGTGGGCCCTCGTCGCCCCGCCCTGCCCCCATGTCATGTTCCAGGCCGCCCTCGTGGGGCCTGAGCGGATGGGGTCGGATAGGAGGATGGCGCCGCATCGGCGATGCGGGGCGATCTGAAGCCCGACTTTCTCCGACCCGACGTCGCCGATGCATCGGCGATGCAGTGCGATCCGCCGACCCTCCCCAGCCCACTGGGGTGGGCGCCATTCGTGCGCGCCGTCATCGTCGCAGTGGGGAGCTCACGAGCGACGAACATACCTCGGAACCCCGAAAGCATACTGCATCTGGCATCCAGGGCGGGGCTGGAGGTGATATCCGCGAGGTCGGGCCACCTGGGCCAGGGCCATGGAGTCGCCGGGTCTGGGGCCCGCCAGGGCTTGACATCGTTGTTTCTGTCGGGGTTGGTGACAGTTCGTCTGGAGTCCTTTTGCTCGTTGTTTGGATTCGTTGTGCCAGATTCCTATGGCTTCTTGTTCGCATTCATATGTTATGGGATTGAGTTCCCAATTCGGTTTGCCTAAGGGGTTCTTACTTGGTTAAAGGTTGGTGCCTCGTATTCTTACGAGGTTCTTCGGGTTCCCCGCCCCTGGTGCCTCCTATTGTCACGTTGTCCGTTGCCCGGAGGTTCCTCGGGTTCTGCGGGTTCTTCGGGTTCCCCGTGTTCCCCGCGCCCGGTGCTTCGTATTCTTATTGCGCCCGCTCGAAGCACTGCCAAGCAATGCCAGGCAATGGCAAGCATTGCCAAGCAATGCCAAGCAATTGCCAAGCAATGCCAAGCAATCCCAAGCAATGCCATGCAATGCCAAGCAATACCAAGCAATGCCAACCAATGCCAAGCAATGCGCCCATGCAATAGGAAGCTTTTCCCAATTGGGGTCGCGCCTGGTTCATTTGTGTCAGGATTTCTCGTGCTAGGAATCTTGCCATTGTCGTCAGGACTTCTTCTGCTTGTGTCAGGATTGTTCAGGAGCCCCTTTTATTATTCAATCAGTCCTGTCACTGACGAGGTCCTAGCAGGAGGCTGGAAGAGTCGGCGAAAGTTGCGTGCTGATTTTGGCGGGCGGACGGGTTTCGCGGTCTTCCGTGCCAGGTTATGGGCCTATTTCGGTGGGCGGCTGGGTTCGGGGTTGCTGGGTCTGGAGTTCCCGGGCACGGTGAGGTTACCGGGTTCTCGACTTCTTGGTTGTGGCCCAGTATTTGGGTCTTTCCGACCACGGTCACAATCAGAGAGTCCATAGTGGAGAGCGCACAGGACAGATCAGAGAGTAAAACGCAGATTGAAGTGAGAGTAGAGATCATATAATTGTGAGCAGGGCGAGTTGAGAGGGCAGATCGAGTGATCAGGGTCGAATCAGAGAGAGAGAGAGAGAGAGAGAGAGAGAGACAGGGAGAGACTGAATCGAGAGGGAGAGAGAGAGAGAGGGAGACAGGGCGAGAGGGGCAGTATATGCGATCCTGGTCAAAGATATTTACATACATGTATTTAAAATAGAAAGGGGGAAACATATACATATATATATATATATATATATATATATATCTAAATGTAAAAGAAGCCGTCCATTCAGACGAGAGAGTACATACCATAGAAGGAGAGACGATCGAGCAGAGTTGTGTACATACATACCCGTCCATATATATATATATATATATATAAATATATATATTTATATATATATATATATCACTATATACATACATTCACAAAAATAGAGGCAGCTGAAAGCAGAGAGTTGAGAACAGAGTGCAGAGCGAAGTCAGAGGGCTGGTAGGTCAGTGAAGGGGCAGATAGACAGAAAGAGAGAGAAAGGGGGGGGGAGAGCGGGCAGGCGCGGAGTGCCTGAGAGCCTCTCCTGTGTACGGTGGGGGCGATGGTTGAGGAGTGTGCCAAGGAGGCTTCGGATCCTGAAGAGTTCCTTAAATTCGAGACGAGGGTGGTGGTGACATCCATGGCCCATCCACGATTGGAGTCCCACCCGCTTCCAGACCGTGGATTCCTTATCTAAGCGTTCCTTGTCCAACGCCCCCACCGTATCCTGTGGAAGGATTCTTTATGTTCGTTGTCGGGGAGTGTGCTATACGTGGCAGGATTACGTTCATGGTTTCCAGGGGCCCTTTTATTTTGCCAGCGTTCCTCTGCGATGTGTGTTGGGATGACTTGTGTTTCGTCAGGGCACCCGCTAAAGCATGATCGTGAATATTCGTCTGGATTCCTATTACCTGTCGTCGGCGGCTGCGAGCGCTGAATTCTTTTAGATATTTATTGTGCTACCAAATCTCTGGGGGCGTCGTGGAACGCATCAGCAACATTTTTCCGTGGACTAGTATAGGTTGCCTTGACCATTATTGGTTTTAGGTGGGGGCCCAAATGAGGACTCCCTATGTCCGCGCGAACCAGCGCCCCTTCCTCCTCGTCAGTTGGCCCATTCCCTGATATTTCCTCCCGCGCACCCTCGGGTTCCTTTTTGTTTGCAGGGGTAATATGACAGGCGGGCAGCGCGAATATTCATTTGCGTGCTCACAGGATCGTTGGGAGGGCGCCACCGAAAGTAATTGTTGATTTCGTCCTAGTGCAAACGATATCGCCCAGGGAGTGGCGGTTGCTTCCGAAGGGTGAATTCCTCATGCTTCGCGTACCCCCACCACTATCCGTAGCCATTCTGGCTCAAGCCGTCTCTGGGCCCTGGCTCCTCGGCCGGGTCTCCCAGCTCAAGGGGTCATCCCCTAGGAGTTTGCGGGCCGCGCGCTGCCCCCCGGGCCGCGCTCCGGCCATATCAGACTCCCTGGTTTTCGCCCCTGCGGCGCGGCGCGGCAGCCAGCCTGCAGGTCAGGCTTAGCATGGATGGGAACCCGATCGACGACGGATCTAGGATTCCTGGGAACTCCGCGGGTGACGATGCAAGCCCAGTCGACGGCCAGGGGGCCCACGGACTGGCTGGTTCAAGACATCCTCCCCCAGGATCCCAGGACACCATCCCGCCAGGGCAGGCGTCGCCCCTCGCTCCCTGGGGCCCTCCGAGCTCGGGCGGTCCGAACGCGTCCGCGGACCCCTTGATTGCTCCCGTCGGCTTAACATACACACGAGAACCATCGGCCTTCAGCCAGACGGGAGGAGGGGGCGCCACGGTTAGCGCCGCGAGACACACTGATATTGCGACCTTCAGTCGCTTCCCTGGGTTTGACATTGACAGTAACGACTCCTTCCCGCCAGACTTGTTTCCCTTGCTTACCCCGACACTTCCTATGCCCCTGGCTGGGCGTCCAATTTCCTTCTCTCCTGGCGGTGAAGGGCAGAACTGGATCGCGCGCGGCGATACCAGGACCACGGGGAGCGATGGCCCCACTCCTGATCAAGTGCATCCCCCGACGGACTCAGGTCCATTTTGGCCGCGCAGTAGCTCCCGCCAGAGAGGCGCTCTCGGAGAACGCCCCGTTCCCGATGAAGAGCATCCCCCGAGAGGCTCAGGCCCATTCTGGCCGCGCAGGAGCGCCTGCCAGAGAGGCGCTCTCGACGATCGTCCCAGGAGCCCCACCGACGAGGGCGGGTGGCCTAGGGTTGAGGCCACCCAAGGGGGTGACTACGGTTACGACAGGAGGGGGGACGG